ATCACTCACCCACACCAGATGGAAAACTCTACAGACTGTCGGTTCACACCCCATCACAAGCCAGCAAAACATCCACGAAACAAAKAAAGGTCTGTCACAGCCAAAAAATACACTCCAGACACGCCGCTGGCACTAGAGGCATATGTTGCATGAATCGAATATTGAAAGTGTTGAATGGTGCTGGATTGCAGATCTGTTAATCAGCAGTCGGTAGTATGGAGGAGATTTTGGCGGGAAATCCGACGTGTCATTCAGCGGCCAGAACACCGAAGCAACACGATTATCAACGTGCAGCGAATCTGATGCTGACGTGTCATTAATCTGCAATGCCGAAGTCGTACAGGTGTCATTAAGCTGCAATGGCGACGCTATACACGTGTCATTCAACTGCAATGCAGAAGCTGTACACGTGTCATTCATCTGCGATGCAAAAGTCATACAGCTCTGCATGGTTGGCAGACAGGACGTCGTTGTGCAGGTTGTGCCACTGGGCACACAGGCCAATGGCAGCAGCATTTCCCGCCAAATTACTTTGCAACCAATCGCATAGTAACGGAGTTTACAGCGCAGGAAAGCTGGCAGTTTCCAAAAAGAGTACGTCCCAATGGCATAAAGCATTTTACGCAGAAAAGCAGGCAACTTCCAAAGATAGTAAGGCTCTCGTCAACTGCTCTGGCAAACTTCACCCTCTGAAGCAGCTGGCAATTTCCAAAAATGGAAAACGCGGTAGCAGTTGCTGTGTCCCACGTGGAGGAGGACAGTCGTATGGTGTGCATGACGCATCCGCTGATGGTAGAATGACGATCATCAGAAGAGATTCGACCTCTACCTCGCTGATAAGCATGGCTTCTGCTTCTGACACGTGTCGAGCTCGACAAGCAGTCTTGACGTCATCCATGGGTAACTCCAGTCTGGCGGTAGAGACGAGTGCAGAAAGGAACGAGCACGAGGACAAGAAGCAGCAGCAGCAGCAGCAGCAGGAGGAGAGGAAGGAGGAGGAGGAGGAGGAGGAGGAGGAGGAGGAGGAGGAGCTGGAGGAAAACAATTCGGTGGATGAAAAGCTAGAGATACTCAATGAAACCTTGACGGCCTTGGAGTGGCAAGAGCTTTGCAGACAGGTTGGGAGGTTCGCTTCCACATCACTGGGCCGTCAGATCGCTAACAACGCTGATCTAAGGGTTGGGAGAGACATAGGCGAAAGTGAGGCACTTCTGGATCAAACCAGCGTGTTCTTTGCAATGCAAGAACAAGGTTTCGAGGAAGAGGATGATTGTAAAAGAAAAAATGAATTAGATTTTTCAGATGTGTACGACGTAAGGAACATGGTAGATGCAGCTGCGAATGGCACAGTCTGCGAAGGAGAAGCTCTGGTGGAGTTGGGGAAGACGCTGAGAGCAGCGAAGAAGCTGCACGAACAACTGATATCCAGCTTTTTTCCTGATCGAAAAAGATCCAGCCAATCGGATTCAGATTTGGTAAATCTAGAACCGGATAAGGAACCGGATAAGGAACCGAATAAGGATACGGATAAGGATACGGATAAGGTTAGTTATAATTGTACTTATCCTAAAGATGATGATGACGACGGGGCAAGAAGGTTGGCAAGCCCGCGCGGTCTGAGGTTGCTCGTTGAGGAGATAGACTTTCTGGAAGCTTTGGAGGAGGAGATCCGCCGCTGCGTCGACTATAGCAAGTACACTGTGTTGGATCAAGCAACCCAACGACTTGCGGAGTTGCGAAGGGAGAAGGAGGAGACCTTCTGGTCACTTAAGAACGTAATGAGAGGGGCAATTCTGCAACTTCAGCAGTCCAAAGGAGGGAGTAGTAGCGAAACGTCCTTGATAACCAGACGAAGAGGGAGGTCTTGTATCTCTGTACGTGCAGCCCAGAAGTCTCTCGTTGCAGGAGGTATAGTTCTTGATCAAAGTAACACCGGCCAGACCTTGTTCATTGAACCTAAGGAAGCAGTGCAGCTCAACAACAGGGAGAGGGAGCTAAGCTTGGCAGAGCAGGAGGAGGAGAGGAGCATTTTGGCAATGCTGACGAACCGGGTGGGCTCCTGCGCAAGTTCAATCCATGCAGTTCTTGATCGAATCGTAGCCATAGATCTTGCTCAAGCTCGGGGTGCTTATGCCACGTGGCTAGACGCAGTGAGGCCACATTTTGCCGCCCCTTGTGTTTTGAAGACCGACTGCCACAAAGTTGACAGTCACCGTAACAATGAGGGAGGAGCTGGAACTCTGCAGGAAGAAAATTCAATGGGAGTCGTAGAGCGTGGAGGAGGTGGGAGCGAGAGGAGCTCCATGCTGATAGTCCCTGAACAACGAGGAGTTTCACAGAGCCAGCACGATCATTCTTGTGAGAACACCTCTGACATGTCTGACCTGTCCCAAACTTTGACAGCTGGCGGCATGCAGGTTTCCCTCCTTGGCATCAGGCATCCTCTGCTTCTAGGAAACGCACTCATTGCCAGGGAAGAAGATCAGAATGGGCAGGAAGAGGAAGGAGGAGAAGGAGCGGGAGGAGGAGGAGGAGAGAGGGGGAGGAGGGATCTCGACCGAGCCGCTAGGATTACCTCTCTGCCTGTGCCTGTGGACATCGCTGTCAAATCGGACACACATGTCGTGGCCATAACGGGTCCCAATACCGGCGGCAAGACGGCCACCCTGAAGACTCTGGGAATCTCAGTTGTAATGGCAAAAGCCGGTCTGTTCCTTCCAGCTACTGCCGGGATCCCGATCCTCCGTTGGTACGACTCCGTTTATGCCGATGTAGGAGACGACCAGTCTCTGGAGCAGAACCTGTCCACGTTTAGCGGCCATATCCGTCGTCTTCGCCGGATTCTGCAGCACGCAGAAGCCAACTCCCTGGTCTTGCTGGATGAGGTGGGGAGCGGGACCGATCCCGGCGAGGGTGCTGCGCTGGCTGTTGCCCTGCTCCGCCATCTAGCAGGCACAGTCGCTCTCACAGTGGCAACCACTCACTACGGCGAACTGAAGACCCTGAGGACGAAGGATTCGCGGTTTGACAATGCATCGATGGAGTTTGATCCCCTGACCTTGAAGCCAACTTATCGTGTGATCTGGGGCGAGGCAGGGCAGTCGAATGCGCTGGAAATTGCGGCGGTGCTTGGCCTGGATACCGATGTGATTGCTGAAGCACGGAGAGTTCTCGACGACCTCAGAGCTTCGTCTTCTCTGTCTTCGTCTGTTATCAAGGATTCAAACGGAGATGACAAGAAGATAATGCCGATGATGCTAGGATCGACGGCTATGAAGAGATCCGGGGAATCTCTCCTGCAACCACTGATTGAACAGACCCGTCGGCAGAGAGAGAGGGCGCAAGCTGCTGCTGAGGTGCTGCAAGATGCACGTAAGGTATATGATGAGCTAGCAGCGGTGTCGTTCAATCTCGTGAAGAGAGAGGAGAGGCTGCGCAAGCAACAGGAGGCTGACACGTGGAAGGAGGCCCAGGAAGCCATATCCATGATCGAGGAGCTGCAGAAGGAGGCCGAAGAGAGCATCATACGATGGAGGAGAGGGGGGGAGGAGGAGAAGGAGGAGGAGGAGGAGGCGAAGGTAGACGATTGCCTTGGGAAGCTGTCATCCATGGCCAAAGAGTTTCTGGTGATGCCTTCAGACGTTGCGGGTGCATTCTTAGAAGACGAGGATTTGCAGACTAGCCTTCTTGCAGAGTCGGACCTGTCGTTTGATGTTGACGACTTGAAAAATGGACGAGAAGCTGGATATGGAGGAGGAGGAGGAGGAGGAGAGAGGGGAGAAGAAGGAGGTCGCAGTGGTGTACAAGCTGGTCAGGAAGTCGTCGGAGTGAGGAGAAGGACGTGGGTACCTAAGGTTGGTGATCGGGTGACTGTTCGACGACTGGGATCTGCTCCTGTCGCCGTTGTGGAAGATCCCGGCAAAGGAGGTGACTTGACTGTCCAGCTAGGCATGATGAGGGTCAAAGTCAACGCAAGAGAGGTTCTCCCTCTTGTGTCCTTGACGACAGAACAAAAGAAGAAAGGGGAGAGTGGATATCGACTAGCTCAACAAGGAAAGAGGAGGAGGAGGGCATGGGAGCCAGAGCCCCTGAGTGTGGAAGATGAGCTCAAATTGTCCATCTCTCAAGAAAAATCATCAAGTATCTCTGGAGAGGAGGATGACATTGTGACGTTCGCACCTGCCGTCCAAACGTCTTCGAACACACTCGATCTGCGTGGCTTTCGTGTTGAAGATGCTCTGCATGAGCTGGAAATGACTCTGAGAACGCAACCGAGGGGAAGCGTGGTGTTCGTAATTCATGGGCTTGGTACAGGAGCAGTCAGGGACGCAGTTCTGAACGTCGTTGAATCCCATTCATTGGTTGCCAAGATCGAGCCGCCGACTGGAACGAACCCGGGTCAGACCGTCGTGTATGTGAAGTGACGGTGCAGCAGGGAGAAGACGATGAACTAACTAGCCGATATCTGTGGGAGGAGGAAGAGAAGCTGGTGGAGATGGAGAATGAAACGGAGGAGGAGGAGGTGGTGGAGGAGGAGGAGGAAGAGGAGGAGGTGTAGGAGGAGGAGGAAAGGGAATGGTGGAGGAGGAAGAGGAGGAGGTGGAGGAGTAGTAGGAAGAGGAGGAGGTGTAGGAGGAGGAGGAAAGGGAATGGTGGAGGAGAAAGAGGAGGAGGTGGAGGAGGAGGAGGAAGAGGAGGAGGTGTAGGAGGAGGAGGAAAGGGAATGGCGGCGGAGGAGGAGGAGGAGGAGGAGAAACATGAGGGAATGCAGGAGGAGAAGGTACATGAGGAGGGAATGTAGGAGGAGGAGGAACATGAGGAGGGAATGGAGGAGCAGGAAGAGGGACATGAGGGGGGGAATAGAGGAGGAGGAGGGAAAGGGGCAGAAGATGATGAGGTACGCAATAATTGTGGGAGCGTAAGGATGATGAAGAGGAGGAGGAGGAAGGCAGCAGATGGAGATGGAGAATGAGATTGAGGAGGAGGAGGAGGAAGGCAGCAGATGGAGATGGAGAATGAGATCGAGGAGGAGGAGGGCAAGAGCGAGGAGGAGAGGTAGAAAAAGAGGAAGAAGAATAGGGATGAGGAGCAGCAAGATGAGGGGGAAAACGAGACTGACGAGAGGGGGGGGAAGGATGGGGAGGGGGAGGAAGAGGAGGGAGTGGAGGAGTAGGAAGAGGAGGAGGAGCAAAAGTAGGAGGAGGGAGAAGACGACAACGAGTACGAGGAGAATAGGAACGGGGAGTAGGAAGAGGAGGAGGAGGAGGAGAATAGGGAGAGGAGGGAGACGAGGAAGGGAAGGAGGAGGAGGAGGAGGAGAGGGAGAGGTGGGACACGAGGGAAAGGGGAGAAAAAAGATCAGTGGTGGAGAGAAGGAAGGGATACTGGAAATGGAGTAGCTGCGGATTCCTAAAATTGTCGCCAGGGAGAACTTTTTCTCCTGGTGCTGATTTTTTTTCAGACCACCTTTTGGTTAATTTTTTGGGGCGTCTTTCAGCCCCTCAAGTTGATGGGGTTAGTATTCTTTATAACTATTCATTTGTACAATTTGTGAGAACGACTTCAGAACTCGGTCTAACGAGTCTCGTAATCAACCTAATTACACGAAGAATCCCGGCTATTCAATACAAATCTTCGAACAGCAAGTCATCTGTCCCCATGTCTGATCAGTCGAGTCATCATCATCATCATCATCATCATCATCATCATCATCATCATCATGCTGATGATTATTGATAATCATCAATGTCGATTATCATAGAGTTTCGTCCTCCTCCTCCTCCTCCTCCCCCTCCTCCTCCTCCTCCTCATCATCATCATCATGATTACCACTGTCACCGTCAGATGGATGATGGTCTTAAAAAATGACTCAGAGTTTTAGTATGACTCGTCGTTGCTCAAGGTGCTGGACGTGGATTGGATGCTGGTTGGAATCCGACGTCTTGGATCCCCTAGCCACGCATGAAGCATTTTGGACATGTGGAGAAGGGGACCACTGTTTATAGAGCGTTTCGTCACCTTCGTTTTTTTTTGGGAAAATTGCATCTGTGCCCCACTTAAAGATGGGAATACCCGCTATACCCAGTCCCTTTTTTTCCCCTATTCCCCCTTGTCTATTGTTGACAACATCGTCCAACGGCCTAGCTCAGTTGGTTAGCCACACAAGTGGCATTCAGGAGGTCGTGGGTTCTATCCCCATGGCCGCCCGCGGTACGCTTGGTGCCAACCAACCGAGATAGTCAGCTGGATCCTCCTCGTTGGTATTAGTAGGGTCTTCGGCCAACACGGGTGTGAGTGCGAGTGTGACTGGGTTGCGTGTGGTGTGTGGGAGAGTGCTGGCTTCAGACACTGCTGTTACTCGATGGGGGTGGGGGAAGATGAAAAGGGGGGCGCAGTTACTGGCAAATGATCGGTCCTGGTGTTAGCCGGGCCGCCACCGGTGGGGCCAACCCTGCACCGTAAACCACTTGGGCAAGGGGAAACATGCAATTACCTCGCTCTACCAAGAGAGTGAACCTCCCTTGAAGTTCACCGACGAGAGGTAGATAGCTATGCTTGCTGGGGTGGGCTGTATAGCCTTAGGAGTAGAGGTAGGCAGGTAGTGAAAGATGAAAAAGATGGGATAATCTGCAAAATTGAAAATACCCCCATAAGTGCAATCACACTCCGATTATTCAACTTGTCATGTATGCACACAGCGAAACAGCAAATTGGCGACAGGCCCCCGCACAGTACTTCAAGATATCGTATCCACATAAGAGTTCTCTTCAAACTGGCTATGGCGACTGAGCGCCCACACAACTCACTGGTCGCACTCTGGATCACCCTGGATGTCCCACACGCAACACTCAGTATCACACTTCACACACACACATGCTAGGCTACAGCTATGGCAGCGCTAGCTGCCACTACCTATTGCTGCACTCCACTCCTCTGCCCACTTCGTCTTCGGGCACTCTGCAGACCTCCTCGCACAAGCTGCTAAGGCAGCGCTTCCGCATGGCATCCACAGGAATGAATCCCCTTGGCTGGACGCAGCCTCTTGATTTATACTTCTGTGCTGCGTTGGTCTGCCCTGTATCCCTGGCCCATGGTGCACACAGTCCCCCCCCCCGTGGTACTTGCTGGACCCGACTGGTACTTTCTAGACTCTCCTATGACTACCTGGCGACGAACCTATGACGTAGCACAGTTGCACTGCGGTCCTACCACTTGCTTACACCACTTGACCACTTGCCTACACCACTTGACCACTTGCCTACACCACTTGACCACTTGCCTCGACCTA